TCTGTGACATCTTTCCACTCGCCGCCTCAGTGTTTCCGTCAGCTGGAGCGAACCAGCATATGCGTGCGTCTGTGTGCGGCGACGGTTCTATGCGTTTGTGTGGTTAAAGTGAAGCGTTGCAATCTCTAAGGCCCCAGTGAGTTTAATACCAGCTGAGTGGATTTGGCTTTGCATCTCCCACACAGGTGATGAGAGGAGAGGATGGGGAGGGGGAGGAAGAGAGCGGGGTGAGAGGGCCGGACGACCGGGAAAGACGGGACAGGATGGGAGCTAAATGTAGAGAGATAGGGAAGGGTGGCTGAGTGAGATTGGTGAGATGTTTGAGTGACTTCTATGTTTTACATTTTAAGAAAAGAACCCTCTAAGGAGGGAGGTACGACTCAAATGTCCTCCAATTGTGTCACATATTTATCCATCTTGTGTTGATGTATCACATGAAATACCAACAGATTGAAGTTTTGATGTTAGCTAAGCAAAATGTTAAAAAGATTAAGAATAACAAATGCTCTTTTGCACCCTATTTATTCTGCATTCACTCACCTCTTGTATTTTTGTCAGGCTGATTTTACGAGGTCTGTAAACAGGATTTCATTAATCTGACTGGCTGAAACCGCTCACTGAAAAATCCTAGCCCTAGCTCTTATATTGCAATTTGAAATACAAAAATATCACATCTTTTACTGCAAACTGTGTATTTACCGTGCTATCCTCAGTTTTCTCATTTCTATTTGATCTAAAACTAACTAATTAGCATTTTTTAATCAATTTCCCTTCATTGTTTTTCTCCAGTAAATTTTACTCCAAGTGCACAGCTGCAGGTACATGCATTCAATTGTCTGCAGGAATGTGTTGTTGCAGGACGACATGCGTCCTTAAATAACTAAGGCCTCGATTTTGGCAAGAAGCAGGAAATGCTGCTCCCTATAAGCTGCTGACTGTGTTTCAGGCGGTTTGATTTACTGACAACAACAAAAAAAAAAACATGGTTGGTTGTCGGCACCTTTCCATTAAAAATGTGGAAGCAGGAAGTTGTGACGAAAACACTTGAAATGACTTTCACTTATTCTACACCAACAACACATCTTAAATAAAAAAGAAATTCTACAAATGCATGCTTGCTTACATTTGGGAATTTGTCAATTCTCACAAGGAAAAAGAACATCAACTCTAACGTCTCGACTCCACCATTTTGTGTACAAGTGTGGGATTCGGTTCCAACTTTGCGGCTTGCCAGCCAGTTGGATCCCACAAAGCCAGGAGCTTAGAGCGGTGTTTATCACTCCTCCTCAGGATAACCACCAACTTTCAGATCTATCATTGTGTTTATTTATCTTCTGACTTCCTCAGTCTCTTCCGTGCCCACTTGTATTTAGTGGAAGTGCAGACAGATAACAATATAATGACATGCTCTGTATGTGTTTACGGGCGCTAAAAGGACAAGTGAGAGGAAGGTTTGGCAGAGCTTATTGTTACATAGGAGGATGTGTTGGAAAATCACACTCGAGGCAGATGAGGAACTGTTTTCTATGTTCCTGCGATCATAATGCCACCTTGATTAAATTGCACTCATTATTTATTTTTGGCTTAACACCAAGCTAAACACATAAAGGTACATTTGGTTTTTTTTAAAGGTGTTTGTCAGATTTACAGCAAATTAGAATCTTTTAGTCTAGACATATTTATGAAGTTTTAAAGACAAACCCTTATACTGTGTGGTAAAAGTTCATGAACATCAACACACAGTCAGATTTATTTGAACTAAAGGTCAAATTTCTTAGTTCTGAACCAGAAAATAAAAAGATCAACCACAAAGTTGACATTTAAGCCCAGAAAGTCAAAGGTGTTTCGGCCATGAGCTGAAAATTAAACATGGCCAAAAAAATCTCACAGTAGCTCTCCCAGTGTCGCAGAAAGTGCTGCACAATAAGTTTTTTATTGTCACCTTAAAATATAATAATAACTTACCAGGTTGCAAACCTCAATGAAAAGCACAATCCTTTAGGTTTTCCTGCTTTCAACAAAAACAGATGGATGTGGACTCATTCTAACATGCACAGTAAATGAAAACTCCCCTGTGAGGTGTGAGGCTGAACTCTGTGAACTTAGAGTGCTGTGAAATAGTATTCATCTATCCATAGACTAACAGAAACCAAGCACTTTGATATCACATAAAAATAAGATGGCTATGTGCAAGAGGCAGTTTTCAACATGATGAAAACTGATTTAAGGGAAAAAAGTCATTCAAATCACTCTAAACCCTTTGTGATAAAGTAATGCCTCCCTAAACTATAAATCAATAATTTCAATTTAATGTAACCCTACGAGTTCCAGGGGTTTATTGCACTTTAGTTTGCAATAAATCACTGGGTTTTGATCTTTTAGGATCTTCTGTGTTAGTGGATTAGCAGTGTTACTGAATTTTCTTAAGTTGATCCTTCCAATGTGTTTCTTTGAAATATTTCTGTAGTTCCTTTCAAATTATCCTCTCATCCCATGACAATATGTGTTCTTTAAGAATAGTGGCACGTCTTCCCCCTTCTCTCATTACCCACTTTCCTGTCAATTCACTATCAAATAAAGGCCACGAGAGCCAATAAAACCTAAAAAAAAAAAAGTGTAGTGTTCAAGAACTTTGCATTTTGAAGCTCTGAATGGACCACTTTGTAAGAGCAAACAGCCTGCAAAGTTGGCGGAGTGACTCTGTACAGGTCGCTTTCTAAGCTAATTAACTAGCTAGCTAACGTTTGTAAATATCTATGAGCTCCAGTTAGATATGCTACTTCCACACACGAGCAGGAGTATGAAATGAACAAGCAGAAGTCAAGGCTATATTGGCACAAATAACTCGGGAAAACAATTCCTGTCCTTTACTTCCGACGTCCACCATGGCGCCACAACGTGATTAAGTAACGCAGTTGCAAAGGGTCAATAGTGGCGCAGGACAAAGTCAAACATATTGTTCCCAGCAGCTAGCCAACTCACTTAAAACCCCCCAAAAAAGGTAACAGCTTTGAACGTTTTTATGGCTAGGAGTTACGTTTTTTTATTTTTTTATCTTTTACAGATTGTATCTGAGTTTTCGGAACATGGTCTCTCATGTGATGGTGTTTGGAACCACAGCAGAACTATTTTCAACGTTTTATAGCCCACAGTTACACATTCTGTGTGTGTGTGTGTGTGTGTGTGTGTGTGTGTGTGTGTGTGTGTGTGTGTGTGTGTGTGTGTGTGTGTGTGTGTGAAGCAGGTGGAGAGAACAGCAAACTCTGCTTACCTGAATCATCATATGTCATGGCAGCGTTCACAGATCTATATGCAGACTCGAGCTATTTTGGGAGATGTGATAAATGGTGGGCTCTAACATAAACCTCCCCCTTCAGTAACCGGGTCACGCTGTGATTCACGGTGCAGCACAGTGCGAAATGTAATTCTGCTTTACCTCCACATACTGCATCCTAATCACCGGAAGCTCGGCCAGCTTCGTGGGACATCTGGATGCAGCGTGACGACATGGACGCAGGGGGGGCGAGGAGATGGGGTACTTTTTTTTTTTTCTGCCTCAAACGTCACAGAGGGGCATAACAAAAAAATAAAAAGGTTGAACGTTAATTCCCAGAGCTCCCATACCTCTGCAGCACAAACACACCAAGCAAAATATGGCGCCACCTGAGGCCTCAGCTATTTTTAAAGTCACCTCAACATCCCAGGAGCGTATTTTCCTCTGAATGAAAGAAAAACAAAAGTTGAATTATTTTGTGCTTAATCTGCCAGATTGCCTCAGTGTCTCTCCTCCGTCAGCTCTTGCCTAAGAGTGTGGTTTGGCTTTAGGAGTCATGACGATGATGGGTGGAAACGATGACTCAAATCTTTTGAAGTCTTTTTGTGTGTGTGTGTGTGTGTGTGTGTGTGTGTGTGCGCGCGTGCTCAGCATGTGTCATAGGAGCCATCATATTATGACTTGAACTGAGGAATACCAAGCATTCTTGCTCCTCACTGAGCTTGGCAGCCACAGGTTTACTGGATGTGATCCGACTTGACTGCGTGGTTACTCACAATCGCTGAGGTTTGCTGTTAATCGGAAGCGTGCGAAAACATGCCATCAGCATTGCTGAGAAACTCGTTAGAATATATTTGTTTCCTCGCTAATGACAACAAGGACGTGACATACTTTTAGAGACAGCAGTCAGTGTGTGAGCTCTCCGTGATTTATTTCGTTGAAACTGTGTCTTTTAAATAGGCTTAGTGATGTGAATTTCCCTCTGGGATTAATAAAATATATTAATTCATTCATTATGTGTCAGATTTTATATATATGTATATATAAACAAGCCTATTTAGCTTAATCTTGAAAAACTGCATCATCTTACAAAAGTTAAATAGAAAAATTGGAAATGATCACATTTCACCCTGTTTTACTCCCTCTATGGTCTCTAAAAAGCTTCTACATTTATATTACATTATACATACAAAAACATACATCTTTGTATTACCTTCAGATCACCGTAAATAGGTTTTTTGGTTCCAAAACCACAGGTCTAGTGCTGTTTCCAGAATTTTAGGTTTTTGAAGCAGGGTGAGTCTACGCTACAATATTTTTTAACTGCAGTTTTTCCCTTAAAGCGTTTACAGAAGTGTCATTAAGTACAGCTGTGATATATACTTTTGTGCTGCGACAGTAAGAACCTGGATCTTTGACATTTAACACCAAGACACAAAAGAAGAAGTACGCCAACATGGCTGCAGCACTGCCAGGTTTCTCCCATAATTCGCGTTTTCTCCAAAACAGAACACCACTTCCTCTTCGTCAGAAACTTTTTCAAAACACACCAAGTTTATTGGAAGCAGAGAGAGCACAAATTGAAACAGATGTGGAAAAAACCCGCTAAACACATTGGGGCCTTCGCACCATTGTTTCTAATAATCTCCTTTCACAAAATAAGCCAAGTTTTTAAAATGGTCACATTTGAAAATATTCCAATGAGTCCCACGAAATTATTTTTTTGTCTTTCTTGTTTTACTTTTGTTTACAATACATGTTTCCTTTCAATATTGAGATAATATATTCTGTGAGTTGCGGCGTCGTATTTTTGTTTGCTGACATTTCGTTTTCATTCTTGAGCTTTTTCTGGTGCTGCCGTTTTGTGTTTTCTGATGTGCTGAAAATGGCTCCCTGTTCTATTATCTGTTGTGTTTGTGTGAGCAATATTTTTGTGTTTTCCACCATGTTCATGTTAGAATCGGGCTTCAAAGTTAATATTGGCTGTATTCCTTGAAATCCCAGAGTTTGTAACAAGCCTTTTTTTGCTTTCCCTCCTACAAGTCATAGGAGCAAAATTTAAAAAGGTGAATGATTAAAATGACTAACCTACAAGCAAAATACTTAAAATATGTACTGCTGAGACAACCACAAGGTAAAACATAATCAGCTGATCATTTGTGTTTGGAGAGAAAACCTGCTGTATGATCATCTTTAGACAACTTTAACAAACTTCATGTAGAAATGGTTTGATAAAAAAAAAATTTCACATCACTTATTTTCAACTACATTTTGAGACTCTTTACATATTAGGACTTTTGCGCCTACGCACAGTTTAACAGCATTCCAGGAAATGGTACAAAAATAACCTTTATTTACATATTGCGATGTATCAATTCTGTGGCACAGACTCACTGCCTCTGTTTTCATTTTGAGCTGTGATTCCCAGCTTCTTCTCCGTCTTGAGTGATTCTGATAAAATTCCAATCTGCTTCACTCATTGGTCAGCCTAGGTGAGTAATGTGGGCTTTGTTGGGAAACGGCATCATCCTCTGCAGCCTCTGTCTTCCAGCCAGGAAGCACCTGTGGAGCTGAGAGAGGAGGAAAGCTGAGCCGGACTGTATGTCCCTGCGAAGGCGTCCTATTGTGTATGGATTCTTTTTATAAGTCACATGGAAGAGAGGGAAAAAACGGGGGCTTTCTCAACGGGAAGTAGCTTTACACAAACGAACATATGCAAACGCAGTCTGGAAAAGAGTTTTTGTCGGGTGCAAAAGGAGACGCAAGCACTAAAATGGAACCTGATAAGAAATGCTGCGTACAGGAAATTGACGGTTCTTTGGGGATCAGTCATTTTAAATTTTTGTTGAAACAAATAATTTTTCCTGGAAGATGTAATAAACAACAACGTAATAAAATCATTGGACTTAAAGTAGGCTGATTTAATATATCCTGAAAGTCTAGGACGTTTATCATCTTTTTTTTTTTTACGTTTAATTATGCGCAACCAGAAACGTCAATGTGATGAACTGGAATTTTCTGTGATAGCCTATGACAGGGTTGCATATATTTGTGGAGAAGAACAAAAATTAGAACATTATTGCACCAAACGCCACATGACGACCAATGAACACGCGCTAACTTCTTTCCTTTGACTCAAGTAAGTCTTGGGAGTTTTAGATTTTAAACTTAAATATGTGAGTTTGTGAAAGATAAAGTTGCAGTGGTACGTTTTGTTGACTTTTTATTAATCTTTTTTATACTAATTTTGTCTGCTGTGACGATCCAGACAGGTCAGGGATAACGCCGTGGAGGCTTTTAATGGAGGGTTGGGTTGTCAAACAGTGTCTCAGGCTTTGAACATCTCACATAGATGTACTGTTCAAAAATTGAAAGAGCATGGCGCAATGTAGGGTTCATACAATGTAGGGTTCATAAAGAATTGTGCGCTCTGGTCAGATGACACTTTTTAACCTACATGCAAAATGCTAAATTTATCCCCTTGTACACACCCTTCCCAGTGTGACACACTGTGTTTGCTTCATCATGCTGGATGGAAAGAAGTGACACTTTTTCTTTGGATTAAAATAATTTTTTTTCTCTTTCCACTTTAAAATTATTTGTGTGGGTTCATTAGATAAAATCTAAATAAAATACACCGAAATTTGTAGTTCTTTCAAAGAAAACAGTGGACGGGTTGAAGTGAAATAAAAACTTCTTCAAGGCATCATAAGTAAGCAAAGCAAAAGCAAAACTGTAGGCTGCAGTACAATTCTTGAATTCCCCACACCCACACACTCTTTAATTTTTGTTGTAAAATGATGCCAAACTCCATGCAAGAGAAACTGTTGCACTTGTAACTCCAGCTCACACGACCCAGGCGAGTCCTCTGAGGCGGCCTGCGGGGCTTTGCCTGCCTCCCGCACACATTATAGCCGCTCTACAGAGCAGCCCGAAGGCTGGAGCAAGCCTGTCGAGAGTGGATGCTGACCGTTTATGTGTGGGAGGAGAGGGAATAGTGGTTATTGTGAGAACGAAAAGGAATAAAAAAATCCCAGAGGGAGAAACGTTTGGCTCACCTGGGTACGGTGTTATTGTTTACAGCTGACAATGGGCCCGTCCAGCGAGACGTGGGCTCAGGAACGGATGGTGGGCCTCCCCTCGCATCAGTGATGTCACAGGCCCAGATTAGACCGGGCCATATGGCACGCTGCCTGCTGCCTCCTCTAATCCTCTGCTGCCATCCAGTCACCTTCCCATCCATACATACATATGTGTGTAAAAGTCAAGTCTGTTTGCACAGCACAGTTCAGCAACAAGGCAGTTCAACTTGTTTTACACCATAAAATCATAATGTAGCAACCAGAAGGACAGTCTACTGTTTTATTTGATCTTTTTTTTTTTTTTTTTTTGTTTTGTCAGTATCCGTCCGTCTCTCACTTTCTGTGACTCCTGCTGTTCTCTCCTTCTCTTTCTCCCTCCTTGTTTTTCTTGCTCCTGTTATTGTTCTTGTGCATTTATGCCTCAGACACATGATGTAACAGCTACTTGTTGAGTCCGTTGCCCACGGAGCTTTTCAGATGAATTACATGGGCTGTTTTTGTATGGATTTACTGGGTCAGCGGTGAGTGGAAGGAGAAAATAATTAATGATTTTGCTAAAGCATCCGCAGAATTGCACACGTAAATTGAAAGAAATCTTTTTCCTATAGATCTGCTGAAAATCTTATCTTTTGGCTTTTTTCTCTCTTTTTTTTACCTCTTCTTTTAATGAGACGTGTAAATGAACGACTGCTGCAAATCATTTAAAATAAATATGTCACATGTAATATAGAATTATTATTATTTTTTTGTCTTTTTATGAGACATTTAGCTTTTGGGTCTGCAATGACAAACACTAATGTTATGCACCTAGGAACAAAAATGTTTAGCCTCTTTATGGCATAAAAAGCTGCAAAAGATGTAAAGTACAGGTGGAACTAAATACACTGCATAAGAAATACATATTTTTTACAGAGGCTTTACAACATCCCTTTTGTATTTTGTAGAGTTAGGAAACATATTTATGTATTCTTTCACAACCTTCTCACAATAACTTGTTAGAATTTTGTTGGCTGCCTTGCTAATGTAACTTTTCCCACTATAAATCCTACAAATTGCCTAAAAGTTCAGATCAGGGTTTTGAGACGACCACTTTAACTAACTTTTTAGTCACTTTGACATTAAAGGGATTTATTTGTAAGTTAATACAACCCCCCCCCTCCAGATTTTGTTGATCATGACTGATTGTTAAAACTATAAAACATACAAAGGCTAAATACTTTTTTATAGACACTAAGTGTTTGATGCGTGTTTTCTGAGGTTTGAAAACTTCCCTCTTTGTTGTCCAACTGTGATGTTGGTGATTAGTTTTGTCAGACCAAAAGGTTATGTCCTTGTGTGACTTTTCCAAACGTTAATCTACTGTGTTTGTATTAATTTTGGAGTAATGGCTTCTTCAAAGTCAAGCGGCCTTTCAGCCCATGACCAAAAAAGACTTGTTTTTCTGTGGATAGTAGCACTCTGACCTAGAGTTTTCACACGGTCTTTTGTTTTTGTTCTTGGGTTAATTCACATATGGGGTGAACTGCACATCAGTGGAGGTCCATAATTAAAACAGGAAATGTTACGTCTTTTTAATGTCAGACTGAGAAAAAAACCCCTGTATAATCCTGCCCTCCTCATTTTGGGAATACATCTCAGCATTTCAGAACTTACCGTCCCCAGCCCCCAAACACGATGTCAGGAATTTTTTTCAAGTATTACAAGTTCAGACCAGTTTCTGTTGTTGTAAGGTCTGCAGTCTCTGTGGGCATCCATATTTAGATCCAAATGCCAACTCAACCCAAACAGAGTCCTGGGCCGTGTGTCAGGATTGATTTCTTGTCGTGTGGGCAGGTCGAGTGACGTTTAAGTCCATTAATTTATTTTGGGGATTAGGCTTACAGGCTGAGGGATGCTGGAGAGAAGTCATGCTGGTTCACTGGGCTATACGTGGGACCGGGCGGAAGTTATAGGTTGCTTTTGTCAACTACTTTGCCTGATCTCTTCCTGAAACTCAGCTACGTTCCTGACCAGCCCACATGGAGGATTATTCATAAGCCCTTAACACAAATATAAACTCCTGAGAATTCGTACGGCCAAAGAAGTCGCGGCTTCTCTTCGGGTCTGGAGTGGATTGTTTATAATTTTAGTTGCACTGAAGTGTTATTTGTTAGACAGGAAGCGCGTTGCCTGTGGGTGTAGTTCCGCGTTTCAAGAGGATTCCTATTTCGTGATGTTAGGTTGTTGTGGTCCGTTTCCGATGTTTCACCTGGTCTCCTCACGTTTGTCATTTTTCTCAGCGTCACAAGTTTTCCTCACTCAACTGTTCCTTAATCCAAGAACAACTGTGCCAGGATTTAAGCTTTCTGTTCTTGCCACTCTCCAGTCGATTGTCCTGTTCCCCCGTAGGCCGTGGCTCTAATTTGGATCAGCTTGTAAGTGGTCATTTCAATTTGAGATAATTAATCAATTGAAAATGATTCTGCCTGCAAAAAAGAAAAAAGAACAAAAAAATGCTCAAGACAACCTGCGGTTTCTATTCCAATTTGTTTCTTGTACAATAAGAGTCAAAACTGATATAATGTCCCATTAAATAAACAGTCAATCAAGTTCAGTTTTAAATTAAAAAATAATGGCGACTCTGATCGTTTTTGAAGATGTAGACAGCCTTGTGCCTGACCACAACAATTACAAAATCTGACTGCTGTGTTTGACTGGCAGCAGTAAACAGTGTTAGTTTGGCTCTGACGTCGTTTCAACATTCAAATTCCACCTTCTGAGGAAAATGGAAAACACCATGCTAATTTTCATGCCGAGTGACCAAGCTAACATCGTTCTTTTCTCCGTTTTATGCATTCAAAAAAAAAGGAAGTATCACGAATAATATCAGAAGTTGTGCACTTCCACATGTGCTGGTCATTTCCCCCTTCTCCATTTCATATGTTTGTAGTTTTGCATACAAGCAGTGAGCTTAACATTAACTCTAAAAAGTAAATGTAAATTAAGTAAAGTAAATCATATGTAGAATTGAATACAACTATCTACAAACGTGACCACAATTGAAAAGGAAATGATACAAATTGTTTGTTTTTTTATCTTTCCACCTCAAATGTGGTTTATATACTTTAAATTAAAACTGAAAATACTCATAAGGAGAAAAAATATTAAAGTGTGCACAATTTCAAGCTAACATGTTATAAAAGCACCTTTTGATTCAGAAACAGCATTCAGTCTTAGAGGAGTCAGTAAATGTTTATGAAAATCCCACATCTTGATTTGGTAATATTTTCACACTCTCTCTATCTTGCAGTAGTTTTCCACACTGTGAAGTCGTGAGTTATCCACAGCCCACTGGACTCTGACTAGGGCCGACCTGAACACTGATTTTCCTCTAGCGACGCCATTCTTTTGTTTATTTGGACGCACAGTCAGAAGACCCATTTGTGACTGTGATGTCACTTCCTGAATTATGTCTTTAGATGTCTCTTCACATATATATTTTTTTCTCATGATGCCATCTATTTCATGTTCTTAAGTGAAACAACCTCACAACATAATGCCGCCACCACCATACTTGACAGCTTGGATGGTGTTAGCAGATTTACATCCATTCCCATTTTCCTCCAAATGTAACAACGGTCATTAAGGTCAAACAGTTTCACTTTAGCTTCACCGGACCGCAGAACTTGTCTCCAAAAGTGAAGGTATTTGTCACAGGATACATTTGCAAACCGCAATCTGGCTTTTTATGTTTCTTTTGAATCACTCGCTTCCTCCTCAGCCGGTATCGGTACCGGACACATTCCACTATTAACGGTGACATGAACAGATTTCAAAACGAATGCTTTGAAATTGTGAGCCAGTTTTTTTGTTGTTTGTTTTGGTCAGTTTTATAAGACCTTAACACATTCTCCCAGAGATTTGAGAATGTTTTAAACAGGCCCAAACTTTTTCATTGGGAGCTAAAGTTTCTTTCTTTTTTTTTTTTTAATCAGTCCTTCTCAATCCAGACTCAGAAAACTACAGGGCTAGAACATGACTAGCCCTTCCCAGAAACTCCTGCAGCTTTGTCAGTGTTGTTGTTAGCCTCTTGGCTGGCAGTGTCGCTGGTTAGTTTCAGTCTAGCCTTTTGAATAATCTTAGAGAAACATAAATGTTATGTAATGTCAACATTGCTGATGACAATTTTTACTGTGCTGCGGTGGATTATTTTATTTTTGTACCCTTCTTTTGTGGTAAACCTTTGTATAATTACATATTTTGTGCCAAATTATGGCTTTATTGAATTAATGTGTCTTTATTTAAATTCCCTTTGAGATCAGTATTGAATATCAGAAAAAAAAAATTATACTAGTGCTTGAAGATTTTTAAGATAGAGCAGCTTCATTCCAGCTAATGTTAGGTTTTTGGAGCAGCAACTGCACAACATTTTCACACTTTGCTGTGCTGTCATTTTACAATTTTCAGTTGAATGTGTGTCAAATTAAGGGTAGACAGGGCTTTTGAAATGATTTATCATAATCACTTTTTTTGTTGTTGTTTGTTTTGTTATCACAATAACTTCAAGTCTAGCAGTTGCAAAATGCACACTTTTTGGATCCGGTGTGTCCAGAAAATATTTCCTTTAAAGCAACACACGTATGCATGATGTTGCATCGTTTGTGGTGTTCTTGCAGGAACCTCGCAACATGCAAACAGCAACCCGCCTCAAAGGCTTTGTTATGCAATAACTGATCGGTGTGACGGCAGTCTTCTTTAGAAACCATGGCGTTGCAACCTCGAAAAGCATTCAGCACCGGCTGCATGAAAAGACTGGTGGAGCATCTTACGGAGGGACGGAGAGGGGGAGTGAGTAATGGCTGGATCAGTAGTAGCTTCTGTACAGGGTTTCTTATTATTTACCAGAGCCCGCGGGCGGAGTCACAGCGGAGTCATGGACGTGGGCGGGTTTTTTCCTGCGAACACACCAGCGCCGGTGTCCATATATGGTTCTCGACGTCACTCACCGGAGGTCCCATTCACATAAAACAGATCGGCCGGAATCCCCTTGGAGGAAATGTAGGCATAGACTCGCACTGGGCTCGCTGCTCGCCCGCTTTCGCATCTAGCTCAGTTGTTTAAGGCAACAACAACAACAACAACAACAACAACAAGAAAATGAAGGTCTCCAGCATTGACTGCCGGCGTCTGAAGAAGATCATCAGGAAGGAGTGCGGGAGCTGTCTCATTGTGGACTGTCGACCCTATTTTTCATTCACGAACTCCAGTATTAAAGGGTCCGTCAACGTCAATCTCAACTCTCTGGTGGTCCGGAGGTCCCGGGGAGGGCCTGTGCCTCTGCAGTTCGTCATCCCGGACGAGAGAGCCCTGTTTCGGCTCCGGGAAGGGAGCATATCGGCGATCGTGGCTCTCGATGACCGGACGTCCCACTGGCAGAAGCTGAAAAAGGACAGTGTAGCACAAATAGTAATAAACACCCTGTCGCATCTAGCGAGCGGAGCAAGCATCTGCTTCTTGAAAGGTAAGAAATTATTATTATTATTATTATTATTATTATTATTATTATTATTATTATTATTATTATTATTTACCAGTTTGTTTTTGGTTCAGTTTTGTTGACTATAAACTGAATTCGTGAAATCCAAATTGAGAATTTGAATTCATTTTTTTCTGATATCACATGGTTTTGTTGCCTGTTTCAGCCTGAAAGTCGTAACCATTAATAAAGTAAAAAAGATATGATATAAATATCCAAATATGACAGATTTGCTTGACTCTATATTATATTATATTTGTCATAACTGGATGCATGCAGACTGACAAAATCCATGAAATAGCCTTCGGGATTCACCCTTAAAATGGCTTCTTTTTTTTAAATTGTTGGTTGACCAACATTTTGGTGGCATCTCCATCTCTTCATCGCTTCATCGAAGCTATTTTTTCTCTCACTTATTGGAGAAATGAATGTCCTGCGTACGTCAGTAGAGCGGATGAGTCAGTGCTGGAGAGACGCAGCTTGATGCTGCAGCGACTTTCCTTGGCGGTAAAGATGTCGAACCAAGCTCGGTTCCTTCATCGGAGCCCAATATTTACTACATAGTCAAGTGCAGTAGGTTCATCTGAGGTCGTGGCAATGTGTTGGGAAGCGCATCCATCTCCGTCTGTCAGGATGCTGGCCTAAACGGATTACCGGTCCCCTTAGTGAGGGCTCCTGTAATTAATTACGCGTCTATAATCAGGTTATAAACTCTCAAATCCCGCGTTAAGACTGTTTCATAAACACTGGCATTTCACAAGAAGTGCGTTCTTGTGTGAAGGCGTTAGTAGGCTAGAGGTGGTGTTGTAATTTTTCTAAGCTTCTTTTCTAAAAATGCATATCCGTGACATGTATTTCTCTGTGTGTGTGTGTGTTGCTCGCTCAGGAGGATACGAAAACTTCTACTCCCAATACCCTGAACTTTGCACTGAGGTGAAAACCATTGACCAGAGCGGAACTGAAACCGAGAAAAGAGTCAGCAGCCACAGCGAGAAGCTTTCTCACCGCATACCAGATTATGATCAGGTATGGAAACACCCCTCCACTCCCACACAGCTGCAAACTGTCAGGTTTTTTTTATATGTGGCACACGCAGAAACACGCTGGTTGTCAGAGAGGCTTATATTTGACATCAAAGCCACATCACAATATTCCCTGACCTTCAGTGCTCCTCAGTTCTTTATATATACTGCAAAAAAAAAGAAAAGAAAAAAAAGAGAGAAGCACAACCTCTCACTGAGGCTTTCATCTGCAACCTTTCCTCTGTCATGTGTACTATAAATAGAAAGCCTGAGAAAGCCTCAGATCTGAATGACCTCCTGTGTCTCTCTGACTGACACGTTGTGAGGTACTACTGCCCTTAATGGCTCCGTCCCTCCATTTTCCACCACACTTTTTTTTGGTCCGTAAATGAATGCGCATTTTCTCATGGTGTGGGGTGGGTAAAAGCTGATGGATCAAGGCTGGCGGTGGATGTTTTGTCTTCTCTGAGAGGCTGTGTGTTCTTGCCCATTAACACTTGACTTATGTTTCTGTTTTCTCTGCGCTCTAGGGTAAACCCGTAGAGATCCTGCCTTTCCTCTACCTCGGCAGTGCCTACCACGCTTCTAGACAGGACTATCTCAGCGACCTTCACATCACAGCCTTGCTCAACGTGTCGCGTCGGGACCTGCATCCGACCAGGGGCCACTATGACTACAAGTGGATCCCGGTGGAGGATAGCCCCATGGCCGACATTAGCTCACACTTTCAGGAGGCAATAGAATTCATTGGTGAGTGGCTGGATATTGTTATGACAAAAGTCTTGGTGCTTAAAATACTTTAATCTCTCAAGTCTGCAACGATGCTAAGTTAGGACGATGTACGGGTTTAACGGCCACAATATTCAAATCTTAAAAATACCCAGGCTGAGATACAAAAAGACTTCTATACCCATACATAGGCATTGCTATTTTTGAAAAGCATCTTGAAATAAGTCTCCCTCTATCTGAAGCCTGCTGCCATTCACAACTAGAAAGCTTTGAGAAACCCAGCGGTAATCAGTTTATCGTCATCACAAACCTTCAATCCCTCACCGATATAACCCAGCCAGACTTCTGTCAGTCAGGATTTCCTCTCTAGCCTTATACCCTTCCGATCTCCTTCCCTCCTCCTCCGTCTTAACTCATAGACGGCTCTCCGATGCCGTCATCAGCGCCGCGGCCAAATCCCTGCGTTGCCGGGTCTGGTCAGTCAGTGTGACAACTAGGTGAACCGTAGCAATGGGGTCAGAATTTGTAGGCTGACTGAGACACACAGCACAACAAGCTATTATTTGTGATGAGTGGGTGGAGGATAAATACTGGGTGACTAACGCACAGTAAGAGAGGGTTTTTTTTTTTTTGTCCCTACGAGATGGAAATTACTGATGGCCCCGAGGCCAGAAGGCCTGCAAAATATGTTAGAGAGGGAAGGACGGCATGTAGGACAGGTAATGGGGCTGCTGCATAACGGCAGTAGCAAAGGTAATACACAATGGGATATTTATAGCTTGGCATAACCAAAGACACAGCTCATCCACAAGCAGCTAGCCTGACCTGTATTGTCAGTACTGTGTATTGTTTGGGGACGTGGTTCTGAGTAAGCCTGGTTGTTACATAAGGCATCAAAAGCGTTCCTGGGAGCAGGTTTAACCTACATTCAAACGCAGCTTCCGAAATTCATCAGTCATTAGACATGCAGGGTACACAAATAATCACAGCTGTTGGTCTTAAATTAAAATCAATCAGCAAATCCCAAATGTGTCTAACTGATGTAACGGTGAGACGAGGGAGGATAATGAATATTGCTGACCCACTGAAGTATGTCCTGTTAATTCAGAGCAAACTTCGGCTATTAAAACACCCACAGATCCTGTCCAGCTTAATTCAGGTTGCTGTCACTCTCTTAGCAAGACGGGCTCTCAGGGAACGGATAGAAGTGGCCCTCATAGTTCCTGTGATGCAGAGAGACGTGTAGGTGTGCACAGTGGCTAATGAAACTGCTGTCTGCAGCTGTGGGTAGATCAGACTTGCACGCAAGGCTAATGAAAGTACAGACCCGTAGGTGTTTGGAGAATTTCTAAGAATTCTTGAAGCGTTTAAGAAGGGACATTTAGAGAAATAGGTGAAAGCAGATACGTGTGGAGGTGGTAGGATGTACCGGTAAAACCTGTAGGAGCGCGGCACGTAAAGGACACACATCTGTGAATATGGAGGCTGAATGCAGCGCCCCCACATTGGTGCAGGAGCTGGTGTGCTTTGTGACTAACACCAGCAAAAGAAGTTTGTCTCCTTGCGCCACGAAGGCTGGCGCAAGGAGACCAGAGTAACTTTGAATATGTAGTGTGCTGAGAAGAAATGTGATGATTATGCAGCTAAGCTGTGATTCTGAGAAAAAAAAAAACTGATTTCAACAAAGATTTCTTCCTTTCTTTCCTCTTTAGATCAAGTGAAGCAATCAGGAGGGAAGGTACTGGTACACTGCGAAGCAGGCATCTCACGTTCGCCCACCATCTGCATGGCGTACATCATGAGGACCCAGAAACTGAGGCTCAATGAAGCCTTCGAGGTCATCAAGCAGCGGCGCTCCGTCATTTCGCCAAACTTCAGCTTCATGGGCCAGCTGTTGCAGTTCGAGTCCGAGGTCTTGTCCAACGCCCCGGCCATGGCTGCCACGCCCGAACCGGCCACTCCGTGCGTCACAGAGTCAGCCTCGTTTTTTGCCAATGACTTCTCCGCCACTTTCAGCACCAAAAACTTTGAGCCATCCATGTTCACCCTCCCTACCTCTTGCCTGCAGTCCCCAGTACACCACCCGTTGAAACTGAGCCCAATAACTGCACTGCCTTAAAGAAAGAAAAGAACTACGATTGCTTGGTAGTATTACTTGAAATTTTAAGAATCAATGCTTTCTGCGTGCCTGATGTTGAAACCAGCAGAGCGGGTAGACGCAGCGGAAATCAGCAAGAGACTCAGCGAAGCGTTAAAAACAACAAAAAACTGTGTTCAGTCGAAAGGTTTTCCCGTCTTTTGCGCTGCGGTGATGAAACAACACAGCACAGTGATTAACTGCAATATACATGCCTTAGGTTAATATTGTGATTCACTTGCCTATTCACAATTACGGTTAGGCATTTAAACCTAATTTATTTTAAAATAATGGTCTGGTTTTTTTTCAATAATGTAGGAAATGAAATGTGTTTAATAAATGTTTTCACCACTGAAACGTTGTCATGTTGTAATTTTTATGTATTTGAAGCAAGAAGTAAAACCCAATGATCAATTATGGCCACATGATGTGGTAAAAGGAGAAGCAACAGTGACACCTGCAGTGACTTTGAGCCCAGATAAGAAGTCTCATTTTTCTGAATAAAAGTCAGACCCCATGTCTTCCCAAATTGTGGTAGTTACACAAGCCACATATTTATAAATTAAGATGAGAACAAATCACAGGTGAAAAGCTTAAAAATGCATTCTTGTTATCCACAATTATCCTGATGTTGCATCACGATCAAAGCCCTGCAGCATGGACTAATGAGAGTGTCACTACAAGAAAACTTCTGAGAAAGAAAATTGAAATAAGACAGAATTCAAATGTGACTTCATTTTGTTTTGACATATGAATAAAAACATGCTACATTTTATTATCTGCAAATATAAAACAAAGAAAACAGATATTATCTTCAGAAATCCCTATTTTACTGTTTCTTATTTAGGAACGACTAAAAGAGTCTCAAAATGTATTTTTCTTCTCCAATACTCAATTTTTATTGTGAGAAGTCGCCCCTTGTATCAAGAAATGACCTAAAACACAAATTGAGCATTTTCTAATTGCATGCCAGGAAATTTGTGTGATTTGTTTCTTGTTGGAGTCAGGCTGAAATTATCAATACAGTCTAGGGATAATATATTTGTTTCCAATTAATACATTTGAACACTAAGCAGAACCATGTTTGGAAATAGAAATACTATGTGTTCATCAAAAATTTGCTGAGTTTGTTTATTACCTCAACAACTAGGCTAATTGTTTCATGTACAAATTCTTTCCATATAACTCTACTGGACATGAAAAAGAATGCGTTTTACTTCAACTACCACCAAGTTTTAAGGCAGCCATTTTGTATTTTGAGGTCGGGGCTGCTGAGAAACCTCTGTCGTTAACATTTTGATTTATGGGACATCTTTTTGTTATTTCTGGCTTGAATTTTGGAAATTTCATCTTAAAAAAAAATAAAATAAAATAAATGCAGATAAAATATGAAGCGTGCAGGCCAAACCTTCTTTAAAATGACCAAATAAGTAGACAAAGTCAAATTCTGGTTCCAACAAATGTTTTCAGACATCTCCTCGGAACTGTGATACATAATCTTTATTGTGACAAATCTCATAATTCAGGTTCTGAGAACATGAATTATCTGTGATATGAAACGAATGGTCCCATAGGCTTCGATGTTTTATTTTAAATGGCGCTAAAAAAAAATCCCCTTTCTTTATGAATTTAGATAACCTATTGATGAAACTGAAATACACCTTGCTCTAAGCAGCTAGTTCAGATAAAACAGAGGAGAAAGGAAGAACTGTAACAATTTTGTTTGGCGCCCAGAAGGGAAGAGTCGGATTGTACCAACTGTTTAATGAAGGAGATGTGAATACCAATAAAGCATTTTGGAGCTAAATTAGACACGACTGTGCCATATTTAAAATTTTAATACTTCATTAGAAGATCATAAACTTTAAGAGCAAGATTTTTCAAAAAATACACACAGTTTATCCGTGTTTTTTTTTAGCTACGCAGACCCCGTTTTCACTTAATGGTACGAGCCGCTCTATCCCGCCCCCGCCGCCATTTTCCATGTTATTCTCTGTTAGCATACACTCCATCATTATTTTTTTTATATGCAGCAGTTGTTCTATTATTCCTAATTTCTCGGGCTGTTTTATTTAGTGTGTGGAGGATATTATAATTCTCCAGGTGTGATCCAGGGGACGTCCTGTTTAGGCAGCCATGTATATTAAACAGGTAAGCTATCCACCGGGCTTCTGCATGGTGGAGCCTAACTAATCTATAGCCATGCTAGCTTAACGGTATGCTAAAGCTAAAGTAAGCGCTGTAAAGATTTCACCCGTAATATGCTAATTGTTTTATAAAACCATACAAAGATTCCGAAAATGCAGTTAAAGTCAAGTTTTTTTTTTCTGTAAAGTTAGGTGTCGGTGTGGCCTGTTTTTATCTTTAATCGCTGCACGACTCCATGTTAAGAAGCTAAGCTAATGCCATTAGCCTAGTAGTTGTAGATTTTCATACCTTTAGTCCTATGGTTTTTATGCCAGTGGTTACCAGCATTATATTGCACGTAACTCTGCAATGCATATGAGACATCGATAGTACTTTTGCCTGTTATAATCATCATATTATGTTGTTATAAGGCTGGTAACGCTCTGAATGAAAGCTAGCGCCAGCGCTTGTCTCAAATGGCCCAGTCCCGCTTTTAGGATCTGTATTTGGTGCAAAAATCCCCACATACAAAGTTCAGATACTGAGACAATTCTGCAAGAAACTTTCTTAAACTTGCCTTTTCCGACATTTGCATACTAATTGCACATTGTCGCTGTTATACTAAAGGAGATGCTGTTTGTGGTTGTTTATCTGCAGGTCATTATCCAGGGGTTCAGAAGTTATAGGGATCAAACTGTTGTGGACCCCTTTAGTCCCAAGCACAATGTGATCGGTGAGTTTGTGCTTTTTTTTCATTTCAAATTTTGTTTTTATCCTGCATAGAAGTTTTAATTAGAGATGCAATGTTTATCATATCATAATTTCCACTGGTATATTATTGTATGCTACCTGCTGCTGCATTCAATGTTGACTAAGCTTTTATATAAACAACTCAAATAGGTTTAACAATTTCAAAAGAGAAGTACATCAGAACAAATGATTTCATCCAAATGAGCAATAAGAGAACTTAAAATGACCGGCTGTGTATGTATGTTCAATTAAGACATAAAATCACTTGGTCTCAAAAGTTTTGATATTTTCCATGAAACATTCATTACACCTGTAGTTTTTGCTACATTGATATTTGAAAATCTTCATTAACTATAATGATTTGGTTGATTTCTTATGTTTTCTTTATTAGACATCCGGTAATTGAAACACTGTATTCAACAAACAGCCATCTGTCATAGAACAGAAACGTGTTATGGAAATGTGTCTTTTTTTTTTTTTTTTTTTTGGGTTATGAGTAGGAAATTTCTGTCTGCCAATAATTTTAGGTTAATAATCAGTACTGTCATCACAATGTTCAACACTGCTATCACTTTTGTTTTGTTAATACTGAGCTGTGTGAGTCTTTCCATATCTCCACTTCACCAACTTTGTTTTGTTTCAGTCGGCAGAAATGGATCTGGAAAAAGTAACTTTTTCTATGGTACGTACGCCTTTACTTATTCAGCTGGATTTCTCCAACATGTGTAAAACAATAACGAAGTGACCACAATGTTCAATTGTCTTTTGCAGCCATCCAGTTTGTGCTCAGCGATGAATTCAGCCACCTGCGACCCGAACAGCGCCTGGCCCTGCTTCATGTGAGTTCTAACAACGTTCAGTCTCCTGAATGTAGCTTGAATTGCTCTATTGGGGAAAAAAAAAAAAACTTTTACAACCTTGAAACAAATAAGGAAGTATTTTAATGTTAGTGGCAGGATTATCATTGTGAAAGTTAGTTTTTTTTTTAAATTATTTATTATGTTTTTCTACTTCTGTTACTGCAGGAAGGAACTGGTCCGCGCGTCATTTCAGCTTTTGTGGAGATTATATTCGATAACTCCGACAACCGGCTTCCGGTATGAATTGTTAACATTTTCTCTGTCATCTTTCTCTCAACCATTGCTTTTTGAGCCTCAAAATGTCAGTGCCATTTATAGTTCTGGAACTACAGAGATAATGCATAACAAATAATGCTGAGTGACATTTCTGATCTTTGTAAGATGCTTGGGAATTTGGGCTTCAACGGTGTTTTGCTGAAAGCCTTGAAGGTTTAAATCATTTGGATAATGATGTCTGAAGAATTGTGAATACTGATCTTTTTTTTTTTTTTTTTTGACAATGCTAATATTATTTTTAATATTGGTTGGAGTATTAGATTGTCTTCTGTACGTATCACGTTAACAAGATAACAAATTGTGCTCAGGGCAAATATGTAACAAATTTCTATAGGTGTGTCATTACACCTTTCTGCTTCAGCTATACACACTACTGATAATGATGCTAGCTGCTTCTTTAAGTATAGTAGAAATAGGCCTGGGTGATAAATTGTCCCAAAAATTATTACGATAAACTATGATTATGTCAATTTGGAACCATTTTCAACTAATACAATAATAATAATAATAATATTGGCTTATTGTATACCCACTCACATAAAAAAACAACAAAACTTTAGGTTCTAAAGAAAATTTTAACACTGGAACTTTAAAACATTTTAAATATCCAAAATAAAACAAAACAATAATTATTTAAATGGTTAATGATGTTTCACTCGCAAAAACTGCGTATCCTTCAATTATTCAGTTTAGACAGGGAAAACAGGCAGAAGTGACAAAAGCTTCAAACTAATTACTTGGCAACTGGGTGTCAAATGTTTGCAGCATTTCTCATCTCTTTAATGACTATTGTCCATAAAATGATTGCGCCAATTGTGATTAATTCATTTATTGCTTATTGTGACGGCATTAAGTAGAAATCTGAAGTTTGTGCTAGAAACTGCATTCCCAGTTGCATAATACTGTTGTATAAGCTGCATAAATCAGCCGTTATGTGGGACCGTCGGCATCACTAGTGAGAAATTTCTCTCCCTCCAGATCGACAAAGAGGAGGTCTCCCTTCGCCGTGTCATCGGCGCGAAGAAGGACCAGTACTTCTTGGACAAGAAGATGGTGACGTGCGTATTGTTCCGGCTCGACCGTAAATTTGTACTTGTAAAAAGTCCCACAGAAAACCGTCCAACTCTGCCTCCTTCCTAAGTTTCCTGCCCGTTTTCACGTTGCAGTAAGAATGACGTCATGAACCTTCTGGAGAGCGCCGGCTTCTCGCGCAGTAACCCGTACTACATTGTCAAGCAGGGAAAGGTGAGGAAACTATGATTTTTTTTCT